TACGTATAATAATTAAGATAATAGGAGCCTTTTTTTCTACAAATTTTCAAGTACTTAATATTTATTTTATTATATCGATATAATTCTAACTAAAAGACAGTTTGACATATATAATCATAAGTGAAAAGAAATTAATTTGTACATAAATCTTGCTTTTATTTTATAAAAATAGAAAATTGTTTTTAAAAAAGATCAATGACCAATAAATAATTAAAATTGGTGCCCTTAGTATATTGCACTTTATAAAATATCAAAATATTGAAACTGTTATTTGGTATTTTATACTATTGTTGTCTCTATTTAGTTGTCCACTTTAGAAATGACACACAAATCAAGATAGCAATAATTAACACATTAAAGTTATAATTTTACCTTTATTAATTACGGTTTCAAAAAAGATGAATTAAAATTTTAAAATTCTCAAGAAGTTTAAATGAGGGTATAATAGGGAAATTTTTTTTGTCCTTTCTTAATTTTTTATCCTACATTTCTATTAAACAAGTTCATAATTTGAAAATGCAACGTCCAAATCGATCACATAGGCAATAACTTTATCGGCTATTATATTCTTATTATTAATAATAATAATAATAACAATAATAATATTAATATTATTATTTAGGCAATAAAGCAACATAAAGTAAATAAATTTAGGCTCTTGTTCTAGATTAAATAGACATTATTATTAAAGGACAAAATATCTTACACTTGTGTGCTCAATTTTGTTCTCATCGTTCTTTCCACACAACAAAATATTTCAATACATTTCGACAAGAATAATAATAGAGCTATTAATGGAGTACGCTAATAAAGCATTACCATGAAAAAGACTTTGCTTGTCTGCCAATGCTTATTTGGGTTCGATATACCCATATTAAAATTCGATTATTTTAAATTTACATTATGTAAGATCTTATTTACGGAAAAGTTTCTTATCAAGAATTTTCCGTACTCTAATTAAGAAAGGATCGACTCATTCACTGCACGACGTTCGTTCGTTAATAGTTCAGGTCGGACAATGTAAAAATGATTTTACAATGTATGTCTACTTTAAACATTTGAAAAAACATTTGTTTCTATTCTATTGTACTTTTTAAACCTTTTTAATGAAGTTAAAGAAACACCAAAAGCATAGAAACAAACAAAAAAAAACATAGGATAGGGGAAGACTAGATGAAACTATAATATCATCCAAATAAATCGTACTAATTAATTTAGATTGAATTATAAAGTTTAAACCAGCAAAGATTAAATTCTAATTCGTCTTTGGGTGGGGCTAGGAGGAGAAAAAAATTTATCGAAAGAATCACGTATAAGAGAGACCAACATGTACCTCTGAGTTGAGGTCACTTACGTATAAGAAATTTTTTAAAAGCAAATTGATTATGAATGAAATCCATATTACTTTTAAAAAAAACATTTATTCATATTACTTTCGACAAACTTACTTTAAATTTAAAAAATTTTATGTTCCACGTAGTTTATCGATCAAACCTATTAACAATCCTCTTCTCAAAATAATTTATTATTGAAGGAACGATGAGGTTTTTACAGAAAATATAAGTTAGGATAGCAAGCACAACTACAAACATGTTTTTATATATATATATATTTTTATACACATAGCCCTTGTTATTATTTTCTCGATTGATTTGACTATAGTTTATAAAATTAAAAAGATAAAGTAATTAAAAGTCAACATTTGCAGTTAACCAATACATATTGGAAGTACAATAAACCTTCGCATAATTACAAAATTTTGACCTAACAGGCTAACACTTTTTTTTTAACGCCACGAATCGAGGATCTCTTTTTGTATTAAGTTATCTATCGTAATTTTTCTAAAATAATTATTTTAAATATAAAGATATAATTATGAAATTATATATTGATCTGTAAATAAGAATAAAAT